AAAAAATGCGACTCGATGGTTCATGGTGAAACTGGAGAATCTGTCATGGCCTCTATCCCATTTCAGATCACCTTACAAATGCTAATATTTCTGGATTTTGGGCTTTGGGATTTGAGAAAGTTATGTTACATTGTATCTGGTTGGTTGCAATTATTTTTCGATTCTTGATTATGGTTATGAATTGCTTGGTAAATAGTAAGGGCTTCTTAGAATGTAAACGTATTTTCACTGGTAATTTATCTATTATGAGGGGATGCAGTTGTGGTTAGGACCTTAACCGATATGGACGAGGTTAGTAAGTTTTAAATAATCACTTACTGGGCACTGTGTAGGGGCAAAAGAACGTGATTTCAATCGAATAATGATAAATTTAAATTGTCAATAGACGATTAATTTTCCTAAGTGGTTACAAGTGTAATGCACATGCAACTTAATGGACTCAAGAAACAAACAAATACGAACCATATTTTTAGCAAATATATAAAAATATTTAGTTCTCGACTATAAGAAAAAACTGATCGATCTTCACGCATTGTAAATTCTGTTAATCTTAAGTCCTCATTAGAGTTCTTGATTTATCTCCAATATATCGCTTTTGTAACATTCTCGATGCATAATGAAAATTGCGAGAGATACTGCTGGATTACCTGAAGTGCTTACGAGATTACATCCCGGACAATCGCCAGAGCCAATTGTTGAATATGATGAGCAAATTGTTTAATATGAATGTTGATATACAGTCCCACGACAGGAGTTTGCTATGGACCGCGGGAAAAGAAAAGCAAAAAAAAAGAAGTATTATTTCTTGGTGTGAAGCTCTGTTTTCTCCTCTTTACGACATTTGCTGAAAAGTGTATTATAAAATGTTCAAATTCTTGAAAGTATTACAAGTCTTCTTTTCATTTTGTTCTATGCTTGTTTGCACATTAATAGATATTCAAATTTTAGTTAATTTTTAAGATGCACAATAGAAAAATATTGTTTTTTAAATCAATTTGTTCATTCGTCATTCTCATTACCATAGGGTGTGAAGTTGAAATTTGTGATGGCATCACAAACAAAACTTCTTTGACTTCTTTTTATATTATTTTTCAGCAATTGAGACTTGAGACATAAAAGATGGCCACAAATCTTTTTTATTGCTTCGAGAGAGTGGTTGGAGTTCGAGGGAATTTTTATGGCTCTCCTTTGTAATTTTGTTTCTTTCTCTGCTTCTTTTGTTGGATGTTGTTGGCTAGGAAATCAGTGGATTTCAGTGGTTTCTCAATATCTGTTTTGCTCAAATGCTTTTTTGGCCGTGCGGTTTGTTGGTTGCTCGAGGCGACTTTCTCATGAGGGTCTGGTTGGCTTTTGATGGGGTTTTTTGCTTCTGGTAGGGTGCTGATGGACTATAAAAACTGTTGTTTCCAGTGGTTTTTCTGAATACCTGATGTACATGCTTTTGTTTAATTTTTGTTCTTAGTGGGGGTTTAGCTTTTATTCCTCCCTGTTAGTGCTGCAGTTTTGTTTTTTCTTTTCAATAGAGTTGTGCCTTTGGTCTTCTTTTTTAGAGTTGTTTATGTTTTCACTTCTTTTTAGCTGACTAATTGTTCAGTTTGGTTTGGGGTGGCTATCTGAGTTAAAGTTTTGTAAAACTTAGATTGGGTGATTCTCTACTCCTTTTTTTTTGGGCTTTAAAAGCTTTTTTTAAAAATTTAATGTCTACGAGAAATAATACTTACCACGAATGTATATGCACGTATACTTTTGTGTATCTAAACCCTCAGCCATGTATGTACTCATGTCTAATAAGGAAGGTCCCAATCTAACTGGAAAGATGCCCGACTTTGGTTGTCACCATGTCACTATTTTTCAACAATCAAAATGAAATTATATATAAATATCATTGTTGTGCTAGTAAAATCGATAATCACCAAGTTAATATTGTCAGATTACCAAAACAACTCACATGGAAATAAGTTTGCAACTGCATGCATAGAAGAATCATCAACCTGGCTTCCAGAAATAAAACGACCAACATCTCACCTATCCAAGACAATAATCGAAATTCCGCACACACACACACAGAGGCACGCACGCACATAATGTAAACCAGCTTCTGTAAAGGAAGCAATATTCTTTGCAGTTAGGATTGGATTGGATAATGGCTTATTGAGGATCTCAGAATCACTAGGGCCAGAGACACATACTGCCAACCTCCCCCAGCTTACTATACGTTTTTTTCTCGACCAAACTGAGGTCGGCCTGAAATTGCCCCTACACGATGACCTCGTAGAACTTAGCCGAGAGATGAGGATTGGATTCAAGAGCCATTTTGAGGGTAGATGGATATATAGGTTTTTCTTTGGTTTTATCTCATGGTGCGCGAGAGATGAGAGGGAGACTAATGTATCAGAATTTTCCTAATGAAAAACGTGTGAATGAGGGAAATTTAAGAGGATTTATGGCAAAGAATAAGCAAGAAGCCTTTTACAAAATCAACAACCTGCACGTAGTGCAAGCAGAACTCAACGAGGTACATCATAATAAACTTGATACATTAACAAGAACAAACCCACTACTAATCAACAATGTATCTCTTAGGCAAAAGAATAAGTGGATTTTTCTTATGCACCGCGAGACCTGGTAAAGAATCTGTATCAATATCTTTTGCTTGAATCCCATGAGGCAATTCCCAATCATATGAATGGAGCATATTTGCAAGTGTAAGCTCCACGTTTGCAAGTCCCATAAACATCCCGGGACAACTCCTCCGGCCAGATCCAAACGGGACTACTCCAAAATCTTGTCCTTTTATGTCGATGTTGCTGTTTAGGAATCTCTCAGGTAAGAACTCGTCTGGACTTTCCCAACGCTCGGGATCCCTAGCAACGGCCCATGCATTAACATAAACGATGGATTTAGGTTGAATTTCGTAGCCTTCTAGGGTGCATTTTTCTAGTGTTTCTCTTGGGACCAACAATGGGACTGGAGGATACAATCTGAAAGCCTCGTTTATTACTGCTTTTAGATAAGGAAGCTTAGGCAAGTCGTCTTCATCCACGATTCCTTTTTTTCCGACCGAGTTTCGGATTTCTCTTTGTACTCTATGCATGACTTGGGGTGCCTTCATTAGAGCCGTCATCGTCCAAATGATTGATGCAGAACTTGTATCTGTTGCCGCTATAAATATGTTCTACAAAACAATGAGCAGGTTCTCATTCATTTAGGCAAAGTATATTGGACCCCTGTGGAAATTTGCACGTTTTCCTTGTGCTAAGTATAGTTTTGTTTAGGCCTAATTGCAACTAACATCTTGGCTTGCAAATAAAACTTAATTTTTTTAACTTTGCAAATAAATGTCGAACTTTTATTATGTGTTGCAAGTTTGTTTCAAAATTATTTTCCGGTCAATCCTTGTTGACGTGTCCGATCAGAAATCTTACGTGACACTTATGAGGCTTGTGTGACATCAATCTTTGAAACTCTTCACCATTTTTTTGCCACATCATATGCCAACAAATTAACCAAAATTAGAAATTAGTACCAATTGAAAAAAAAAATTATAACAATTTTTTTGCTCATAATCTTCATAATAATCGAGTTCTTCTCCCCCAATTGAAAAACAAAATATTCGCAACGATTCTTCTTTTCTCCATGGCGATTCTTCACCCCCCAAAAATCAAGTTCACCCCAACATTTCGAATACATCTACGAGTTCACCTACAAATTCTGAAAAATTGGGCAGAGGGAACAATTTTCGAGTGATGTTTAGGCGTTTTAGTGTTCTGATCGGACACGACAACAAAATTGGCCGAAAAAGATTTTGACAAATTTACAACATATAATAAAAGTTTACTATTAATCTGCAAAGAAAAAAATTTAATTTTATTTGCAATTTGAGGGTTTTATGAACAAATAAACCTTTTGTTTATGTTAATTTTCATATATAGCCTTATACCCTTGTTTAACAAAACTATTAACAAGTGCCTTGGATACCACCAAGTCTTGGACCTCTTATTCAACCACCGAGCATCACATTCACACTATCGTTAATTTGGAAAATTGTAGAACCATAGAGGGTGTTGTTTTTCTCAATTTTATAGTGTGACTCGAAAGGATATAAATGGAAATTTGAGAAAAAA